AGGCACAGATCTGGGGAAGGGTACCAAACAAATTCTGCAGCATTCAAGGTCCCCAAGAACACAGTGGCTTCCAAATGGAAGAAGTTTGGAACCACCAAGACTCTTCCTAGAGCTGGCCACCCGGCCATACTGAGCAATCGGGGGAGAAGGGCCTTGGTCAGGGAGGTGACCAAGAACCCGATGGTCACTCTGACAAGATTCTCTGGTCTGATGAAACCAAGATTGAACCTGAATGCCAAGTGTCACGTTTGGAGGAAACCTGGCACCATCCCTATGGTGAAGCATGGTGGTGGCAGCATCATGCTGTGGGGATGTTTTTCAGCAGCAGGGACTGGGAAACTAGTCAGGATCGAGGGAAAGATGAACGGCGCAAAGTACAGAGAGATCCATGATGAAAAACTGCTCCAGAGCGCTCAGGATCGCCTTCCAACAGGACAACGACCCTAGGCACACAGCCAAGACAACACAGGAGTGGCTTCGGGACAAGTCTCTGAATGTCCTTGAGTGGCCCAGCCAGAGCCCGGACTTGAACCTGATCGAACATCTCTGGAGGGACCTGAAAGTAGCTGTGCAGCGACGCTCCCCATCCAATCTGACAGAGCTTGAGATCTGCAGAGAAGAATGGGAGAAACTCCCCAAATACAGGTGTGCCAAGCTTGTAGCGTCAGACCCAAGAAGACTCGAGGCTGTAATCGCTGCCAAAGGTGCTTCAACAAAGTATTGAGTAAAGGGTCTGAATACTTATGTAAATGTGATATCAGTTTGTTATTTGTAATAAATGTGCAAACATTTCTAAAAACCTGTTTTTGCTTGTGTGTAGATTGATGAGGGGGAAAAAATTTAATCCAATTTTATAATAAGGCTGTAATGTAACAAAATGTGGAAAAAGTCAAGGGGTCTCAAAACTTTCCGAATGCACTGTATACATACACACATACATTACATACATACATACATACATAACCACACACATACACACTGAACAAAAATATAAATGCAACAATTTAAACAGATTTTACTGAGTTACAGTTCATATAAGGAAAACAATCAATTGAAATAAATTAATTAGGCCCTGATCTATGGATTTCACATGACTGGGAATACAGATATTAATATGTTGGTCACAGATACCTTAAAAACAAATAAAGAGTCCCACACTAAATATATATAGTATAAACACTATGTATAAACTCCCAGTCATTTATTGGGTAAGAAACCACCAACGTTTTGGCATCACTGTGCCTTCTTCAGGGTCACAGATACCTTTAAAAAAAAGGTAGGGGCGTGGATCACCAGTCAGTATCTGGTGTGACCACCATTTGCTTCATGCAACGCGACATCTCCTTCACATAGAGTTGATCAGGCTGTTGATTGTGGCCTGTGGAAGGTTGTCCCACTCCTCTTCAATGGCTGTGCGAAGTTGCTGGGATATTGGCGGGACCTTGAACATGCTGTCGTACACGCCGATCCAGAGCATCCCAAACATACTCAATGGGTGACATGTCTGGTGAGTATGCAGGCCATGGAAGAACTGGGACATTTTCAGCTTCCAGGAATTGTGTACAGATCCTTACTACATGGGGCCGTGCATTATCATGCTGAAACATGAGGTGATGGCGGCGGATGAATGGCACGACAATGGGCCTCAGGATCCCGTCACGGAATCTCTGTGCATTCAAATTGCCATCGATAAAATGCAATTGTGTTTGTTGTCCGTAGCTTATGCCTGCCCATACCATAACCCCACCGCCACCATGGGGCACTCTGTTCACAACGTTGACATCAGCAAACCGCTCGCCCACACGACGATGTACGTGGTCTACGGTTGTGAGGCCGGTTGGACGTACTGCCAAATTTTCTAAAACGACGTTGGAGGAGGCTTATGGTAGAGACATTAACATTAAATTATCTGGCAATAGCTCTGGTGGACATTCCTGCAGTCAGCATGCCAATTTCACGCTTCCTCAGAACTTGAGACATCTGTGGCATTGTGTTGTGTGAAAAAACTGCACATTTTAGAGTGGCCTTTTTTTATTGTCCCCAGCACAAGGTGGAACATTTTGTGTATCTTTTATTTCAGCTCATGAAACATGGGACCAACATGTTGCATTTTATATGGCATCCTAACCCTAACCCTATTCTCTATGTAGTGCATTTAGATCTAGACCACTTGAGTGAAGATAGTCAGATCGGGTGAAGGGTAGTCAGATCGGGTGAAGGGTAGTCAGATGGATCTTCCCAATTGTGTCAGGTTATTTATACATATTAAAAGCTGGACTCAGCGAGATGACAGCAGTAGTGGAACAACAACATTACTGCAACAACTAAGAGCATTGAAGCGCGACGCTAAACTCCTCTGATGTTTTGGTCCGGTAGCTACTGCGTTGTAGCAGCGTGATGCGAACCCCTGCACATGCTCAGACACTCTGTGACTGGGTGTATAAATAGTATTTAATCACGCTCACCGTAATATCTCCCATGCTGCTCATGGCAACATCATGTTGCAGATTCTACCTTTAAAAGTGATAGATATTCATTTCCATTTTGTTATGTGTCATCAGGTAACACTGCCGGAGTGTTCCACCTGCGTTCCCCTGCAGGGAAGTACCAGATGAACTTCACGGACGCTGAGCGAGCCTGTCAGGCTGAGGGGGCTACGCTCGCCACCTTCTCTCAGATGGCTGATGCGCAACAGGTCAGAGGCCATCCTTTAAAAGGAACATCTGGGATTCAGACAACAAAGCAATCACCCTGCCACTTTTCATCAATAGCTATATATTATTAATTTAAAAGTGCAAAACATTGATGCGCCAATCCCAGACTGCCCATTTAAAAATGATACTCTTGATTTGATTTAAAGTGTTAGTTACCAACTACTTGGGCAGTGGCAGTCGTTTTGACGTTGAACCAGGTGAAGGGTTTACAGCAAACTACAGATCAGAGGACATCATTAACTCTGAGCTGCATGATACTGATGATTGAAAGTGATAGTTCTCTATTTAGAAGTTTTACTTCATTTGGTGATGATTCCTCCAAAACATTGGATGTGTCCCAATCCTCCCCTGTGCACTTGCACACTCCTGGTCAGTGGAAACTCCCAGGCTCCAGCCAATGGTTATGTCAATCTAAAAAAATTTTTTTTTAAATCCATGACGACCAGGAAGTGTACAAGTGTAGACTTCAGGAGGAGTGCGGAGAAGCAGGATGCAACCAGTAACTGTCTGATGTTGCAGTTCATGTGTGTGTTTGTGTCTGTCTCTAGCTGGGGATGCATGTGTGTGCTGCTGGATGGATAGAAGGGAAGAAGGTGGGTTATCCGACCAGGTTTCCCTCGGTCAGGTGTGGTGACAACCATGTTGGTATAGTGCTGTACAACGACCCGGTGGACCCCAGCAGACAATACGACACCTACTGTTACAGACTGTCAGGTAACCCTATCAACCAGGGTCGGGCTCCATTTACCAGTTCATTCAGGAAGTACTGTACACTGAATTCCAATTCTCCTCAATGCCATTCAATGAGGAACATTTTGAATTTTGTTTACTTTCTGAATTGACTGAAATTGAATTGACCCTAACCCTGCTATCAACACTTTTGTTTACACTATAAGTACACAATGGATCAAGGCCCGAGTGCTGATCTGGGATCAGGGCATAAAGGGTCTCAGAGTAGCAGTACTGATCTGGGATCAGGGCATAAAGGGTCTCAGAGTAGCAGTGCTGATCTGGGATCAGGGCATAAAGGGTCTCAGAGTAGCAGTACTGATCTGGGATCAGGGCATAAAGGGTCTCAGAGTAGCAGTGCTGATCTGGGATCAGGGCATAAAGGGTCTCAGAGTAGCAGTGCTGATCTGGGATCAGGGCATAAAGGGTCTCAGAGTAGCAGTGCTGATCTGGGATCAGGCCATCAAAGGGCCTCAGAGTAGCATCTGATCTGGGATCAGGGCATAAAGGGTCCAGAATACAGTGCTATCTGGATCAGGCATAGGGTCCTGAGTAGCATGTCTACGGATCAGGCATAAAGTCTCATAGTAGCAGTGCTGATCTGGGATCAGGCATAAGGGTCTCAAGTAGCATGTGTCTGGATCAGGCATTAAGAGCTCAGAGTCGTACTGATCTGGGTCAGGCATAGGGTCTCAGTGCATCTGATCTGGATCAGTGCATAAAGGTTCAGAGTAGCATGTGATCTGGGATCAGGCATAGCTCCCTGAGATGTGTCCTGTGCATTCCACCAGTCCGTCTCTCTGTAGATGTGTCCTGTGCATCCAACCAGTCCGTCTCTCTGTAGATGTGTCCTGTGCATTCCAACCAGTCCGTCTCTCTGTAGATGTGTCCTGTGCATTCCAACCAGTCTGTCTCCCTGTAGATGTGTCCTGTGCATTCCAACCAGTCCGTCTCCCTGTAGATGTGTCCTGTGCATTCCAACCAGTCTGTCTCCCTGTAGATGTGTCCTGTGCATTCCAACCAGTCCGTCTCCCTGTAGATGTGTCCTGTGCATTCCAACCAGTCCGTCTCTCTGTAGATGTGTCCTGTGCATTCCAACCAGTCCGTCTCCCTGTAGATGTGTCCTGTGCATTCCAACCAGTCCATCCCCCTGTAGATGTGTCCTGTGCATTCCAACCAGTCCGTCTCCCTGTAGATGTGTCCTGTGCATTCCAACCAGTCCGTCTCTCTGTAGATGTGTCCTGTGCATTCCAACCAGTCCGTCTCCCTGTAGATGTGTCCTGTTGCATTCCAAACCAGTCCGTTCTCCATGTAGATGTGTACTGTGCATTCCAACCAGTCCGTCTCTCTGTAGAATGTGTCCTGTGCATTTCCAACCAGTCTGTCTCCCTTGTAGATGTGTCCTGTGCATTTCCAACCCAGTCCGTCTCCCTGTAGATGTGTCCTGTGCATTCCAACCAGTCTGTCTCCCCTATAGATGTGCCTGTGCATTCCAACCAGTCCCGTCTCCCTGTAGATGTGTCCTGTGCATTCCAACCAGTCTGTCTCTCTGTAGATGTGTCCTGTGCATTCCAACCAGTCTGTCTCTCTGTAGATGTGTCCTGTGTGTGTGGAAGTCGGTACGTGGGCAACGGGGAATTCTGTAACGGAGACCTGGCCAGTGTTGTGGCTACCAACTTAAACTACTCTGTATTCTACAATGTAAGTTTGTTGTTTCATTAAGCATTAATCCTAAATTAAGATCCTCACATGCAACTCAGACTTAATTGTATTAATTCAAATTAAAGTGAACGAATTAGCACAATTGTCAATGACATTGGGACATTTGCTAACGGTATGGATCTCAAGTTAGGATTTGGCCCTCCTTTGCGAGTGCAAATATTGAAAACCATTAAATTGATTGTCTCTCCTGGTTGTAGATATTGTTGAAGTATGCAGGCTCGTCTACAGAGGGAGAAACTCTATTGGACTTTCTCTCCACCAGTTCATCCTATGCTACTCTGTTTGTGCCACTCAACGCTGGGTTCTCTGAGAATGAGGTGATTTTATTTTAACATTTGAAATCATGGAACAAAACAAAAGTAATTTATATTTACTTTTTCCCTGTAAATTAATGTATTTTTTTTTCATTTTAAAAGGAGAGGTCACCTAAATTACAAAATGACAGACTAAGCTTTCGTTTAGCTAGTTTGGTTTAGCTAGTTTGGTTTAGCTAGTTTGGTTTAGCTAGTTTGGTTTAGCTAGTTTGGTTTAGCTAGTTTCAGCTACCCTGGCAGTGGCAGGTACTGTTTCCACATGCTAACATTTTAGCATTTGTGGCACAAATCCCATTCAAGTCAAGGGACCGATATTATATATATATATTTTTAATCATCTATAAGTGACTTTGGTGAACTTCAAAATCAATTTGAGATACTTTCTGATGATTTGGACATGATGCACGAAAAAAAAAATGTTATATCGGTCCCATGACTTGAATGGAATTTTTGCCACAAATGCTAAAACGTTAGCATTTGAAAACAATGCCAGTGAAACTAAACCAAAGCATGGATTGCGATCATACCATGTCCATAGACTGCTGACAGGGTAAGGAAACAAATGGCATTTCATAATTTGTGTGCACTATCCTTTTAATGATGTATAGTTTTGTATAAATGTATTTGTCATTTGATGTATATTTTCTTGACTGTGTGGTAGACGTTATCAGACCGGGATGTGGAGTACCACATCTCCACTAACAACAGCATTATGCTCTATGAGGACCTGAAACACGACGGAGTCATCCCCTCCCGACTGGGATATAACCTCTCGGTGGCCATTTCCTCCAGCAACACCACACAGCAGAACCAGGTGAGTGGACCGGACACCACACAGCAGAACCAGGTGGCCATGTCCTCCAGCAACACCACACAGCAGAACCAGGTGAGTGGACCCGTCTGTTACAGATGTCCGGGAGCTGGTTGTGCAATTCAAACAGTCTTCACTTCAGATCAACGTGTTACCAATAAGTTGTAAAATTAAAAATAAAATTTAAAAAAGTGTATAACATCATACATTTCTTAAAGCAACAATTCATTTCATGGAAGTTTTGATTTGGATGAAGTGATTCTTGATTGTGTGTGTGTGTGTGTGTGTGTGTGTGTGTGTGTGTGTGTGTGTGTGTGTGTGTTTCCCCACAGGAGCCCCAGACGTTCAAACTAGTGAACCGAAGGCTAGTGTTGACCTGGGACATCCCAGCATACAATGGAATCATCCATGTCATAGAGGGCCCACTCAGAGCCCCACCCCTACCAGTGAGTGAAGCAGGACCCTACATGCACATCCTAGATCAGTTTTACATTTCCCCCACTAATGGTTAAGGTTCGGCTTGGGGGAGGGGAATCACATCCTAGATCAGTTTTACATTTCCCCCACTAATGGTTAAGGTTCGGCTTGGGGGAGGGGAAGCAGATCCTGGATCTGTACCTATGGGAAACTTCAACCCAGAGTGAACAGGGTTCATCTGCTCCTTATCAGACCATCATAACAATCCTAATTCATCGCAAATTCCACCCTATTCCAGAGCCACATAAGGGTCTGTGGTCAACGGTAACACATAAGGGTCTCTGGTCAACGGTAACACATAAGGGTCTGTGGTCAACGGTAACACCCTACAGTATGAGGGAATAGGGTACCATTTGAGAAGCATGTCTGGTATCTTTTTGTGGCTTTGTCCCTTCTAGTAATTCTATTTCTATGACCATCATGGCAGGTGCACCATGCCCAGTCATCAGGCCCTTCCCACCAGGGCGGGACTGTGGCCACCTCCATCCTGGTCCCCTGTCTGATAGGCTGCGTCATCGCTGGCCTCACCTACTACGTCTTCAAACACAAGAACGACGCCTTCCGCTTCCATTACTTCAAGGTAACAAGTCCCCCAAACGGCACCCTATTGCTTATATATATACGTGGTCCTCTGTAGCTCAACTGGTAGAGCACGGCGCTTGTAACGCCAAGGTAGTGGGTTCGATCCCCGGGACCACCCATACACAAAAATGTATGCACGCATGACTGTAAGTCGCTTTGGATAAAAGCGTCTGCTAAATGGCATATTATTATTATATTATTATATAGTGCACTACTTTAGACCAGATCCATAGGGCTCTGGTCTAAAGTAGTGCACTACATAGGGAATAGGAGGCCATTCTCTGGTCTAAAGTAGTGCACTATATAGGGAATAGGGGGCCATTCTCTGGTCTAAAGTAGTGCACTATATAGGGAATAGGGTGCCATTCTCTGGTCTAGAGTAGTGCACTATATAGGGAATAGGGGGCCATTCTCTGGTCTAAAGTAGTGCACTATATAGGGAATAGGGGGCCATTCTCTGGTCTAAAGTAGTGCACTATATAGGGAATAGGGTGCCATTCTCTGGTCTAAAGTAGTGTACTATTTAAGGAATAGGGTGCCATTCTCTGGTCTAAAGTAGTGCACTATATAGGGAATAGGGTGCCATTCTCTGGTCTAAAGTAGTGCACTATATAGGGAATAGGGGGCCATTCTCTGGTCTAAAGTAGTGCACTATATAGGGAATAGGGTGCCATTCTCTGGTCTAAAGTAGTGCACTATTTAAGGAATAGGGTGCCATTCTCTGGTCTAAAGTAGTGCACTATATAGGGAATAGGGTGCCATTCTCTGGTCTAAAGTAGTGCACTATATAGGGAATAGGGGGCCATTCTCTGGTCTAAAGTAGTGCACTATATAGGGAATAGGGGGCCATTCTCTGGTCTAAAGTAGTGCACTATATAGGGAATAGGGGGCCATTCTCTGGTCTAAAGTAGTGCACTATATAGGGAATAGGGTGCCATTCTCTGGTCTAAAGTAGTGCACTATATAGGGAATAGGGGCCATTCTCTGGTCTAAAGTAGTGCACTATTTAAGGAATAGGGTGCCATTTGTGACACAAAGAACCCTTCATCTCTGTACACTAATAAGGGCTCAATCCCAATTTGACATATGCACGTGTCAGTCGTATTTTTGCATAAATTATTAATAGGAGATAAGAAAATGTTACTCAGTAGTGCAGCTTTAAAAGTCTGCATGCTGGCCTAGCCTACATACTGCTGCATTTATTTAGTTTTCAATTTGAAAAAAACTAACTAACAGTTTTCCTGCTGATGAAAACGTAGAAATGTGGAACCAAATCCACCTATTTTTATTTAATTTTTTTATTTATCAGACGCTCTTATCCAGGAGCAATTAGGGTTAAGTGCCTTGCTCTAGGGCACATCGACAGATTTTTCACCTAGTCGGCTCAGGGAATAGAACCAGCGACCTTTCGGTTACTGGCACAACGCTCTTAACCACTAAGCTACCTGCCGCCTCTTGAGTTGGGCTACTTTTTGACCAGTCACTCAGAGGATTCTTTGTATTGTGTTTTAGTTGTATTGTTACATAGTTGTATTTTACATTTGTGTAACTTGTCCATCAGTCTATCAGTGTTCTGTGTGGACCCCAGGAAGAGTAGCTGCTGCAAAAAGCTAATGGGGATCCAAACAAACACATTTGACATTCACCGAATAACAATAGCCAGAAATCTAGTCCGTCTGTGCCAACAATCCACTCCTGTCAGTCCTTGTCAAGCAAAACAATATGTTTGCCATGACAAGGAGGTGGGGAGGGGGAAAACTGAAAGCTATGGTCAAACCATTGATGTCTAATGCTGTGAGGGGAACGGCACCTCCGTACCTTCAGGCTCTGATCAGTCCCTACACCCAAACGAGGGCATTGCGTTCATCCACATCTGGCCTGCTGGCTCCCCTTCCTCTGCGGAAGCATAGTTCCCGCTCAGCCCAGTCAAAACTGTTCGCTGCTCTGGTGCCCCAATGGTGGAACAAGCTCCCTCACGACGCCAGGACAGCGGAGTCACTCACCACCTTCCGGAGACACTTGAAACCCCACCTCTTTAAGGAATACCTGGGATAGGAAAAAGTAATCCTTCTTCCCCCACAAAAAAAGAAGAAAAAGGTGGTTGTCCCACTGGCTATCATAAGTTGAATGCACCAATTTGTAAGTCGCTCTGGATAAGAGCATCTGCTAAATGACGAAAATGGAAATGTCCTGTTTTCATGGTCCTTTAGATGGCTGATTATGCCTAAATCTAATTTGAGTGTCTGAGTGTTTAATCTGGCTGGATGAACTTCGAACGGGGCTGGATTAAAGTGGCGCGTGGTTTCATCCAAATGCAACGAGCCGCTTGTGGATTTGACAGCGCTAATGCAGTTCCACCTCCAACACCGCCAAAACAATGATGTGTGGATGTCTATCTGATTGAATCTAGCCCCAAGTTGTTGTATAAATACAAAAATATCCGTCATTATACTCCCATTTGAACTTTGTTGTGCTTTTAAAACGTCTGAAAGCTCAATGAGAACACGTTTAGATGACAACTAAACCAAATATCTGACAAGGTTACCCACATTTCCACGTTGAAATGACATGGTATGCCCAGTTGAAGGGGCTTTCTAAAACTAGATTTCATTGACTGACACGTCTCCCATGGTGACAGAATGAAGAGGAGGATGATAAACCTGCTCTGATGTCCATTCCCAACCCTCTCTACAGCGGAGCCAGCGCCTTCAACCAACCCTTTGGTATCAATGAACAATGTGTAAGTCTCAATAATGATATGTTATATCTCAATAACGCGACGGATCAATGTGTAAAGGCCAGGATTCAATCTGATCCCGCCTGTCAACAATGCTATATTTAAAATGTAATTACTAATTGGAGGCGACATATGCAGTATGGATGCAGTCTCTGTGAATGTGGGAACATTGCCTTTAAAAAAAGCAGAGTTGTCGACAAACCGCGATCAGATTGAATCTTGACCTAAGTCAATGTTATATCTCAATACTGTTCGCTTAACAAACCGCGATCAGATTGAATCTTGACCTAAGTCAATGTTATATCTCAATACTGTTAGCTTAACAAACCGCGATCAGATTGAATCTTGACCTAAGTCAATGTTATATCTCAATACTGTTAGCTTAACAAACCGCGATCAGATTGAATCTTGACCTAAGTCAATGTTATATCTCAATACTGTTAGTTTAACACATTTATTTTTTTAACCACATTGGGACTATAGGATTTCCTCTTGAATCCGTAACTGAACTTCTGCCTCTGGGGGTGCTCTTGAGCCAAAATGGGGTCCCCTGAATGGACAGAGATTGTTCAGAAATAACCTATAATCATCTAATGGTTAAACATTTTCTTTCCATGTCTAGGCTTCACCAGCAGGAGAGGCAGAACCAGAACCGGCTCCTCCAGCACCTCAACTACTGGATTAATGAGAACAATAAAACTCTATGGAAGAGCTGGAGTCAATTGACTTTCTGCATTTGAGCAAACTATGCTGGGAATGTGTAAATAAAACATGATTTAGCCCTGTGTTTTCCAAAGACAATGGCTGGGATTCAATCCGTAGAAATGCCGTCTACCATGTGCTTTTTAATGTTCCTGTGTGTGGAGATGCTCTACTCCTGTAGCTCAGTTGGTGCCAGGGTTGTGGGTTCGATTCCCACGGGGGGCCAGTATGAAAAAATGTATGCACTCACTAACTGTAAGTCGCTCTGGATAAGAGCGTCTGCTAAATGACTAAAATGTAAATGTAAAATGTACTGGCAAACACTATTGGAATTTACTTTTAAAATGTCAAACGTGTTAAAACGCGGCCTCCTTTAAAAAGGCACATTGTCAGCTGTCCTATGTGTATATATCTATAACATCTTGAATTTAATCCTGGCCTAATCCTGGCCTAATCTCGGCAGTAGGTCTGTTTTCCAAAGATCTGTAAGGGACTAGGGCTAGGCTATTCAGAACTGGATTGAAGACTCAACCCTCCACAGAAACAACACTGATGCAAAATGTTATGACACTGTATTAAAATATTCCTTCTAGGCATCCCTTGTATAGATTATTGGTCATTATTTGATGGTATAAATTCTGTTACTACAACATAACCATTTATTAATTAAACTCCCTTTCACCCAACAATCAGATTTTTCATTTAAATTTGAATTTCCCAGGATAAACTTTATTAGAATTAAAATGTATTCAACACATACCAGAACATTTTGTTTGGATATTAATTTACTGGACTGACATAATTAGATAACTGGCACTTTAGGTAGGCTTTGTTTACCCCTGACTTTAGCGGAAAACAATTTTTACTTCAAGAATGTCACCTCCGCTTCCCTTTAAAGCCGCAAATCTCCTCAGAGGGAGCACCAACCCCCACCTCTCTGCTCCTCAGAGGGAGCACCAACCCCCAGCGCTCTGCTCCTCAGAGGGAGCACCAACCCCCAGCGCTCTGCTCCTCAGAGGGAGCACCAACCCCCACCTCTCTGCTCCTCAGAGGGAGCACCAACCCCCAGCGCTCTGCTCCTCAGAGGGAGCACCAACCCCCACCTCTCTGCTCCTCAGAGGGAGCACCAACCCCCAGCGCTCTGCTCCTCAGAGGGAGCACCAACCCCCACCTCTCTGCTCCTCAGAGGGAGCACCAACCCCCACCTCTCTGCTCCTCAGAGGGAGCACCAACCACCCCCAGCGCTCTGCTCCTCAGAGGGAGCACCAACCCCCACCTCTCTGCTCCTCAGAGGGAGCACCAACCCCCAGCGCTCTGCTCCTCAGAGGGAGCACACAACCCCCAGCGCTCTGCTCCTCAGAGGGAGCACCAACCCCCACCTCTCTGCTCCTCAGAGGGAGCACCAACCCCCAGCGCTCTGCTCCTCAGAGGGAGCACCAACCCCCCAGCGCTCTGCTCCTCAGAGGGAGCACCAACCCCCACCGCTCTGCTCCTCAGAGGGAGCACCAACCCCCACCTCTCTGCTCCTCAGAGGGCGCACCAAACCCCCAGCTCTCTGCTCCTCAGAGGGAGCACCAACCCCCAGCGCTCTGCTCCTCAGAGGGAGCACCAACCCCCCAGCTCTCTGCTCCTCAGAGGGAGCACCAACCCCCACCTCTCTGCTCCTCAGAGGGAGCACCAACCCCCAGCGCTCTGCTCCTCAGAGGGAGCACCAACCCCCAGCGCTCTGCTCCTCAGAGGGAGCACCAACCCCCAGCGCTCTGCTCCTCAGAGGGAGCACCAACCCCCAGCGCTCTGCTCCTCAGAGGGAGCACCAACCCCCAGCGCTCTGCTCCTCAGAGGGAGCACCAACCCCCAGCGCTCTGCTCCTCAGAGGGAGCACCAACCCCCAGCGCTCTGCTCCTCAGAGGGAGCACCAACCCCCAGCGCTCTGCTCCTCAGAGGGAGCACCAACCCCCAGCGCTCTGCTCCTCGAGGGAGCACCAACCCCCCCTCTGCTCCTCAGAGGGAGCACCAACCCCCAGCGCTCTGCTCCTCAGAGGGAGCACCAACCCCCAGCGCTCTGCTCCTCAGAGGGAGCACCAACCCCCAGCGCTCTGCTCCTCAGAGGATGATGAGCTGCAGTGTTAGTGGGAGCAGCATGGAAATGGTTCAATATGAATGGATGAAGAATCACCTTTGTCAGCTGGCTGGCTGGGATGACTAACAAGATTGACGATGGAAATTGATATTTTTTAAAAACCTGTAACCCAAACAGATATTTCAATCAATCTATATTTAGGGCTCTATTCAATCTGTGAAGCTGAAGCGTTACAGATTCCACGACAGAAATGTAAAGATATTTTCAGATTGAGCCGACGTACACTACATGACCAAAAGTATGTGGACACCTGATTACAAAATCATGGGCATTAATATGGAGTTGGTCCCCCCTTTGCTGCTATAACAGCCTCCACTCTTCTGGGAAGGCTTTCCACTAGATGTTGGAACATTACTGCAGGGATTTGCTTCAATTCAGCCACAAGAGCATTAGTGAGGTTGGGCACTGATGTTGGGTGATTAGGCCTGGCTCGCAGTCTGCGTTCCAATTCATCCCAAAGGTGTTCGATGGGGTTAAGGTCAGGGCTCTGTGCAGGCCAGTCAAGTTCTTCCACACCGATCTCGACAAACCATTTCTGTATGGACCTAGCTTTATGCATGGGGGCCTTCCCCAAACTGTTGTCACAAAGTTGGAAGCATAGAATTGTCTAGAATGTCATTGTATGCTGTAGCGTTAAGATTTCCCTTCACTGGAACTAAGGAGCCTAGCCCGAACCATGAAAAACAGCCCCAGACCATTATTCCTCCTCCACCAAACTTTACAGTTGGCACTATGCATTGGGGCAGGTAGCGTTCTCCTGGCATCCGCCAAACCCAGATTTGTCCATCGGACAGCCAGATGGTGAAGCGTGATTCATCACTCCAGAGAATGCATTTCCACTGCTCCAGAGTCCAATGGCGGTGAGCTTTACACCACTCCAGCCGACGCTTGGCATTGCTCATGGTGATGTTAGGCTTGTGTACAGCTGCTCTGCCATGGAAACCCATTTCATAAAGCTCCCAACAGTGCTTATTCAAAGCCATGATTAAAGTGCGGTGTTTGTTGTTCAGAATGGAAGAGGTAACTATCCTGAACAAAAATATAAACGCAACATGAAAAGTGTTGGTCCCATGTTTCATGAGCTGAAGTAAAAGATCCCAGAAATGTTTCATACGCACAAAAAGCTTATTGCTATCAAATGTTGTGCACAAATTTGTTCACATCCCTGTCAGTGAGCATTTCTCCTTTACCAAGAACCTATTAAACAACATGATCATTACACAGGTGCACCTTGTGCGGGGGACAATAAAAGGCCACTCTAAAATGTGCAGTTTTATCACACAACACAATGCCACAGATGTTTTGAGGGAGCGTGCAATTGGTATGCAGACTGCAAGAATGGCCAGAGCAGTTGTCAGAGAATTTAATGTTCATTTCTCTACCATAAATGTCATGGAAATACTTCTCAAAGATATCTCTCAGACACTGGAGCTTGTGAGTTCAGAATAGACTTTATTACAAAGTATCAAGCCGAGCCGGTCCGCGGAGCAACTGCCGGTCCCAGACTCGGAGATCTCTTTTTATACAGTTACATGATTATAAACGTTCATAGTCACTTTGGTCTATTTATGTTAATGTATTTTCTCTTTGTCCCGTTTACTCTCGTTCAATTCTGCTTCGGTTTCCCCTCCTTCTTTCTGACACTAATCTCGGGGCGTAGACTGGTGGCGTGGTTTCAACAGTTTCTTTAAAAAATTATATAAGTACATACTTGAGGATTATTATAGGATTATATAGCCAACTCCCTTAAACACATAATTGCATATAATGATTCTGTTTACGTCTTATATTCCACGATACATGCTATGGAAAAATACCTATATATTCCACCTCCAAAATCGTTTTAGAGATTTGGCAGTACGTCCAACCGGTTTCACAACTGCAGACCACATGTAACCACGCCAGCCCAGGACCTCCACATCCGGCTTCTTCACCTGCGGGATCATTTGAGACCAGCCACCCGGACAGCTGATGAAACTGTGGGTTAACACAACTAGGGCTGTGTCATGAAATTGTCAGCCGGTGATTGTCAAGCAAATAACTGCCGGTCTCACAGTAATTGACCGTTAATTAAGATAAGATTGTTTTGATCACATGGACTGGGATATGTTCCGGGTTGCCTCTGAGAATAACACTGATGTATACACTGACACGGTGACTGAGTTCATCAGGAAGTGTATAGTGGATGTTGTTCCCACTGTGACTATTAAAACCTACCCAAACCAAAAACCGTCCTTAGAGCATTCGCAGACCAGCTGGCTGGAGTGTTTACAGACATATTCAATCTCTCCCTAACCCAGTTTGCTGTCCCCACTTGCTTCAAGATGGCCACCATTGTTCCTGTACCCAAGAATGCTAAAGGTACCTGAACTAAATGACTATCGCCCCGTAGCACTCACTTCTGTCATCATGAAGTTCTTTGAGAGGCTTTTATCCAAAGCGACTTAGTCATGCGTGCATACAGGGATGTAGCTCAGTTGGTAGAGCATGGCGTTTGCAACGCCAGGGTTGTGGGTTCGATTCCCACGGGGGGCCAGTATGAAAAATAAAAAATAAATGTATGCACTAACTGTAAGTCGCTCTGGATAAGAGCGTCTGCTAAATGACTAAAATGTAATGTCTTGCCACTCAACCATACAGGCCTAATTGGTGGAGTGCTGCAGAGATGGTTGTCCTTCTGGAATGTTCTCCCATCTCCACAGAGGAACTCTGGAGCTGTCAGAGTAACCATCGGGTTCTTGGTCACCTCCCTGACCAAGGTCCTTCTCCCCCGATTGCTCAGTTTGGCCGGGCGGCCAGCTCTAGGAAGAGTCTTGGTGGTTCCAAACTTCTTCCATTATAGAATGATGGAGGCCACTGTGTTCTTGGAGACCTTCAATGCTTCAGAAATGTTTTGGTACCCTTCCCCAGATCTGTGCCTCGACACAATCCTGTCTCGGAGCGCTTCGGACAATTCCTTCGACCTCATGGCTTGGTTTTTGCTCTGACATGAACTGTCAACTGTGGAACCTTATATAGACAGGTGTGTGCCTTTCCAAATCATGTCCAATCAATTGAATTTACCACAGGTCGACTCCAATCAAGTTGTAGAAACATCTCAAGGATGATCAATGGAAACACCTGAGCTGAATTTCAAGTCTCATAGCAAAAGGGTCTGAATACTTATGTAAATGTGATATTTTCATTTATTTTTAATACATTAGCAAGAACGTCTAAAAACATGTTTTTGCTTTGCCATTATGGGGTATTGTGTATAGATTGACGAGGGAAAAAAACAATTTAATCAATTTTAGAATAAGGCTGTAACATAACAAAATGTGGAAAAAGGTAAGGGGTCTGAAAACTTTCCAAATGCTCTGTACACACACTCAGGACTCTTTTACTTTTAGATGTGTGTATTGTTGTGAATTGCTAGATATTACTGCACTGTTAGTTTTTGAAATATTTAGAACAAACATATTATTTGCACCCACTCTGAAACTAACTGCATCTCTTTCAGTCGCTGTAGTAGCTGACGTGTATAGTGTTGAGTCATCCGCATATATAGACACTCTGGCTTTACTCAAAGCCAGTGGCATGTCATTAGTAAAGATTTAATAAAGTAAGGGGCCTAGACAGCTGCCCTGGGGAACTCCTGATTCTACCTGGATTATGTTGCAGAGGCTTCAATTAAAGAACACCCTCTGTGTTCTGTTAGACAGGTAACTCTTTATCCACAGTATAGCAGGGGGTGTAAAGCCATAACACATACGTTTTTCCAGCATCAGACTATGATCGATAATGTCAAAAGCTGCACTGAAGTCTAACAAAATCAATTTCTCTCAGCCAATTCCTAATTTGTGTAAGTGCTGTGCTTGTTGAATGTCCTTCCCTATAAGCGTGCTGAAAGTCTTGTCAATTTGTTTGACTAGATACAATGCTATTTTACAATAAACAAAAGTTTACTAAGGGTTGGTAACAGGCTGATTGGTCGGCTATTTGAGCCAGTAAAGGGGGCTTTAATATTCTTAGGTAGCGGAATGACTTTTGCTTCCCTCCAGGCCTGAGGGCACACACTTTCTAGTAGGCTTAAATTGAAAATATGACAAATAGGAGTGGCAATATCGTCCACTATTATGTCATTTTCCATCCAAGTTGTCAGACCCCGGTGGCTTGTCATTGTTGATAGACAACAATAATTTTTTCACCTTTTCCACACTTACTTTACGGAATTCAAAATTATAATGCTCGTCTTTCATAATTTGGTCAGATATACTTGGATGTGTAGTGTCAGCATTTGCTGCTGGCATGTCATGTCTAAGCTTGTTAATTCTGCCAATAAAAAATCATTAAAGTAGTTGGCAATATCAGTCGGATTTGTGACGAATGAGCCATCTGATTCAATGAATGATGGAGCTGAGTTTGCCTTTTTTCCCAAAATGTCATTTAAGCTCCAAAGCGTTTTACCATCATTTATCTTGTTTCATAGTACAGTTTCTTATTTTTATTCAGTTTATTCACATGATTTCTCAATTTGCAATACGTTTGCCAATCGGTTGTACAGCCAGAGTTAATTGTCATTCCTTTTGCCTCATCCCTCTCAACCATTCAATTCTTCAATGTATCATCAATCCACGGGGATTTAACAGTTTTACATCAACAACATAATAATCACTTCAAAACGTATTGTATGACCTCTTATACACTATATTAGGCCCAGCCTTTGGAACTTTGGTTTTCCTAGATATGGCTACTATATTGTGATCACTACATCCGATGGATTTGGATACTGCTTTAAAGCAAATTTCTGCAGCATTAGTAAAGATGTGATCAATACATGTTGATGATTTAATTCCTGTACTGTTTGTAACTACCCTGGTAGGTTGACTGATAACCTGAACCAGGTTGCAGGCACTGGTTACAGTTTGAAACTTTCTCTTGAGTGGGCAGCCTGATGAAAGCCAGTCAATATTTAAATCACCCAGAAAGTATACCTCTATTGATATCACATACATTATCAAGCATTTCACACATGTTATCCAGATCCTGACCGTTAGCACTTGGTCTATAGCAGCTTCCCACCAGAATGGGCTTTAGGTGAGGCAGGTGAACCTGTAGCCATATTACTTCAACAGTATTTAACATGAGATTCTCTAAGCTTTACAGGAATGTGGTTCTGAATATAAAACAGCAACACCTCCACCACTGGCATTTCTGTCTTTTCTGTAAATGTTATAAGCTTGTATTGTAAAGGTATTATCTAAGTGAATTTCAGAGATTGTCAAAATATGAATGTCATCTGTTACTAGCAAATTATACATTTCATGAACCTTGTTTCTTAAGCTACATATGTTAACGTGGGCTATTTCTAACACTTTCTGGGATGCTTGAATGTTTTTCTTGCTTTACTGGGAAGCTTAGCAGAGGTATACATGCTCGAGTTCTTTATGTTAGTGCAGGGTGAGCTGCACACAGTGGCCTTCCTGCTAGGGCACACCACCTCAGTGCTAACAGCATACATCTGGTTCATAGGAACATGATTACTGCATCCAATATCTGTAGGATCAGCAGAGGCATTCAGGGCAGTTAGAGGGACATACATTAGGTTACTTACATTGTGTCGTCCAACACAATGGTAGGGATTAACTGAGCTGGGCTTGGGTCATTGATAAGTCATTGTCTCAACGCAGCCTTATAATGCTGTGAAAGGATCCAGGAACCCAAATGATTTGGGTGGATCCCATCCTCCTTATAAAATGTGTTTTGTTTCCAAAAGGTATCGCAATTGTCAACAAAAGTTATACCCAGTTGTGAAGAGAAAGAATCCTGCTAAAGCGTTCAATGCCACGATTCAGAGAGGGCACAGGGCCAGATATGATGCCATGATTCAGAGAGGGCACAGGGCCAGATATGATGGGTCTTTTATTAGAGTCTATCAGAGTCAATCAGCTCTTTGAAATCCAGTTTCAACTGTTCAGAGCTGCACTTCATAATGTCATTAAAAACCCACATGGACTACGATAGAATCGATTTCTATGTCCTGAACTAGTACAGTCGGGATCAGCTTAGTAGTTTATATTTACTTGAGCCCCGGAATAGGACATTGTTTTTGCACCAGGAATGGTCACATTTCTTACCATGGAGCTGCCTAAAATCACAGCTGGTGAGAAGGAGGAAGTAATCCGCCCACTCCCACGCTTCACAGGATTCGGAGAACCCTTTATGGACGGGCGAGAGGCATGATAACTTGAGCCCGTTGCAGCCCTCCGACAGATGGAGAAGCCCTGCTCGATCCAGAGCATGGACGGAAGGTTGCCGACGTCGACTTTGAAATCGTAGGAGTAGGCACTGTGGCCGCAGCAACGAAGTTGCAGGAAGATCAGGCTCCAGGATAGCAAAACTATTCTTTGTTTGTATCCGCTCCGGGCCTCTCGTTGGGAGTGTAGACTGCTTTGCGGGAGGTCGCTGTCATCGGCTTCCACGGCCCGTGACATGCGACCATCGTTGATTGCCATTCTCCTCTTGCTGTGCTCCCACGACTCCGCTATCAGATGGGGGAGGAGAGGCAGGAGATGGCTCCCCTGGCGAACTAACTCCGGGCAACACCGGCCAGTCGGATAACGACAAACGACAAGGCGGAGATGCATCCAACAATCGCGAACGCCGTCCAGCCACCGGCGTAGAAAATGTAAACATTCCACTCTGTGTTTTCCCCAGTTTCTTACGTAGGCTGGCGACCTGTGTGATCAAGGAAGCCACCTCAAGCCTATAATCCTCGGCAAGCAAACAATTGCCACATTGGAACTCAGTGATCCAGTTTGTCCCAAAACAAAGCGTAGTAGATACAACTCCTACAGCGCTGGAACCGTTCATTTCCTTCTCCAGATAAAAAGGCCTCCATTATTGTCGAGTTGGTGTTTTGATTTCAGAAAAAGTGTTGTTATTCCTGATGGTGCTCTCATCAGGCATATGGCTCATGATCATATATGGAATCAGAAATACCAACACTTTGCGGAAATAAACAAAAATGAACTACAGTAACTGTTGGCATTTCATTTCCCCGCTGTACCGAAACGTAACCCAAAACCGCGATAACCGTGGGACTGGGACAAAGCCGAGTCATTGGTTCCACTGTACTGGGCAAACTAAATCAGGTGCAGCTCCAGTATTTGACGTTTGATATAGTTGACCAACCAGGTCTGAAAGGAAGTCAAGTATTGATGGTATGTAGAATAGACGCCACACCCTTGGGTATCTCTCATTCAAATGCCTTTATTTATTTTTTTAAATCATTTTATTTAGCAATTTCTGAAAATGTAATCCAATACACACTGTACAGTTCTGTTCAGCAAATTTAAACGAACTGCAACAAAAAACGGACACATCTGGGAGACACATGGTTGGTTGAGAACCTGCAAGAAATGTAGCACTGTGTCATGTGACAAGAGGACTTATTTATACCAGACGCAAGAATGCAACAACAAAATTAGCTAAGCAAAATGGCCATTCTGCGTACATACACAAACATGTGCAGCCCTACAATTTGTAACTTGATGAAACTACGCAGGATGGCCATTTTGAGTAGCTAATTACTTTCTTGCGATGCATACTTGCATGAGGTATAAATTAGGCTTCAAAGACCCCGTGAAAAATGTATTTGCTGCATCAGACAATTGTAAGTGTTATTTGTGCATACATATCCTAGTTCAAAATAACATGGCAACTTGTCTTTTCAAGTAATTTTATTTTATACCGGTACATTGAAATTAAGATTAATAATAATATTGTCCGAAAAATACGTATTTTACAGCCAGAGTAATTTGCTGTAATTTTCTCTAAGAACGACTTTGGCAATCGCAATGACTGTTTGGTCCCTGGCCTGAACACAACCATTCAGTAACATTTACAATATTTTCAACAAAGGATCAATTTAAGGCCCTGATTTTGGGCTACAACATGATTTCAAGCCATTTGAACACTTCCCTTTCCCTTACATTAAACCGGACCTAACAAAAACCTTAAATTTAACCAATTCCTTAATTTGTAGTTTTGTCCTGCAACTTCTGGGATGGTGATAATGGCGACAGAACGATGTGCCAACTAAATCCAGAGGCGGGATGAAGATGCAGCCAGCCAATAAAATACAGATAAAACCAACAGTATGGCTACGTCCCAAATGGCACCCTATTCCCTTTATAGCGCACTACTTCTGACCAGAACCCTATTGACCCTGGTCTAAAGTAGTGCACTATATAGGGAATAGGGTGCCATTCTCTGGTCTAAAGTAGTGCACTATATAGGGAGCCATTCTCTGGTCTAAAGTAGTGCACTATATAGGGAGCCATTCTCTGGTCTAAAGTAGTGCACTATATAGGGAATAGGGTGCCATTCTCTGGTCTAAAGTAGTGCACTATATAGGGAATAGGGTGCCATTTGGGACACATTTGATAACACAGTCCCTGTGGTTATGGAAGAAGCGCATCCTAAACCATTCAACTGAACTAGTGATGAAAGATCGCAAAACACTTTGTGGCAACTTCTTCACAAATGGCCAGATTTAGCTGGTTCCCAGTTAGCACCAATGCAAAGTTAGCACCCGATCTAAGACAGTAAAATAATATCTAATATCTGTTTCCATTTTCAAACATCTGGCGTTAGGAAAAGTTCTGCAATCCAGGTAAAATAAAATACTTCAAAGATAGGGTGGTTGATGATGCTATTAAATGCTTTACCCAGAGAAAATAAAACAAAAAATCAGCCACTACAAAAATACTAATTATTTTAGTTGAAAAGAATAAGGCCATTTTAACTTTGTCCTGCAATGGAATTGTTACGATTCAAGTTCTTACATTCAGCAAACACAGAATAATTTGAGGCCGTCAAAGTTTAAACTCAATGAAATAGGCTACACAAAAGTAGATAAAACTAAATCAAATGAGTCAGTAACCACAGGAAGATCTAAATGTAAAAGACTGTCCCTAAAACAAGGTTGCACCATTTACACATTCACTTCAGGGGACCGAAATCTGCAAAGTGTCGTGTGGGAGGAGACTGCTAGACCAAATACGGTAAACATTTTATTTTTTGTTCTTGCAAGAAAAGTGATCCTACAGTGTGCTGTGACACTGCTCACCAAGTCTATCAGTCCATCCTCCGGGTACAAAACAGAAGCTGGTAGAAAATCACTAATACGCCCCATTCTGCACTGTCTATGGAGCGTCTTTCAAGCACCACCGTGTGGAACTTCTGTGAAACGTCAGTTCCTTCAGTCCTGTTGACGCCATCATCCCGTCGCTGCTCAATACAAGAAACACTAGATAGGGTAAACCAAGACGTCACTAGAGATATCACTCTGCTATTCCGCTACAGTTTCATACAGCGGTCGTATCTGTATGACAGGGGACAGGTTCACCTGCAGGATCCTCTGGGCCTTCCTCCTCAGCTCCTCCACCGTGACGCAGTCGTCCACTTTGATCACCTTCAACCGCAGGCTGTTCTCATCTAGACGACACTCCTCCTGATCATTCATCACCCACAGAGACTGGTCATCCCTCCAGGACCGTCTGTGGTTCGACACGTCAATCTTGTAGTCGTAAACTCCTCGGCCGTTTTGATATATCACCGGGGCGGAGTCTCCGATAAGGGCTCCATTCCATTCCGGACAGAAGGGATGATACCTTTGACCGACCAACGCCACTGCTTTTGGTGTTCTACCCATGTTCTGCGAAGGCAGCAACGGTATCCCTGAAAGTGTTGGAGGTTGAGAGTGAATCTGCAGTCTCGCAGTGTGACCCCTCCTCAAACCTGTAATGTTCGTTAGTTTCAGACATTGCTGTACCGGTGGAGGTTCAATAGTCATAACCGGACATCTGGAAAAGACAGATCCCTTGTGAGATTCTGATGCACTAGTACTCCACGATGCGTACTTGTTAGACTCCTTCTTCTTCTTCTTCCTCCTTCCCCTCTTCTTGCCTGTCCTTGAACCCTTGCTAGCCATGTCTGTAGAGTACATCTCTTCTGGTAGTGTTTTGGCTGTACAAGACCTATATCCATACACATCTTTACTTCGTAGCACTGTGGGCTTGTGACCCTCTTCTTTAAGCCCTTGGAGAAAGGTTACTAGTTCCTCTGTGTCTGAGAGATCCTTTGACATGGGGTTGAGGATCTGTAACGCCTCAAGAAGGACAGACTGTCCGGCCGAGGCGATTCTGGACCAGGAGTTGACGGCCTTCTCCACAACCGGGTCTGTGTAATTCATGACATCTGCCTTGAGGTTAAATGTTTGAGAGCTCCCGAAGTCTGTCTTGCTTTTCACCCTGTTGAGAGAATTTAGAGAGGAGCAGTTTCCAATAAATACATCAAGAAGACAAACTAAAAACGATTGCATGCTTACTGATGTAGGCTGATGGATGGAGAGGATCTATTCTACAATGTAGAAAATATACAAAAGAAAAGAAAAACCCTTGAATGAGTAGGTGTTCTAAAACTGTTGACCGGTAGTGTACTTACAGTACCAGCCAACGGTTTGGACACACCTCCTCATTCCAGGGTTTTTCTTTATTTTGTATATTTTTTACATTGTAGAATAATGGTGAAGACATCAAAACTATGAAATAACACATGTGGAATCATGTAGTAACCAAAAAAGTGTTAAACAAATCAAAATATATTTTATATTTGAGATTCTTCAAAGTAGCCTTGACGACAGCTTTGCACACTCTTGGCATTCTCTCAACCAGCTTCATGAGGTAGTCACCTGGAATGCATTTCAATTAACAGGTGTGCCTTGTCAAATGTAAAATGTGTGGAATTTCTTTCCTCCTTAATGCGTTTGAGCCAATCAGTTGTGTTGTGACAAGGTAGAGGGGGTATACAGAAGATAGCCCTATTTGGTAAAAGACCAAGTCCATATTATGGCAAGAACAGCTCAAATAAGCAAAGAAGGTCAGTCAAAACGGAAATTTTTTAAGAACTTTGAAAGTTCTTTATGTGCAGTCGCAAAAACCATCAAGCGCTATGATGAAACTGGCTCTCATGAGGACCGCCACAGGAAAGGAAGACCCAGAGTTACCTCTGCTGCAGAGGATAAATTAATTAGTTACCAGCCTCAGAAATCGCCAATTAAGGCACCTCAGATTGAAGCATTTATTTGGGCTGCAGAGTTCAAGTAATAGACACATCTCAACATCAACTGTTCAGAGGAGACTGCGTGAGTCAGGCCTTCATGGTCGAATTGCTGCAAAGAAACCACTACTAAAGGACACCAATAATAAGAAGAGACTTGCTTGGGCCAAGAAACACAAGCAATGGACATTAGACCGATGGAAATGTGTCCTTTGGTCTGGAGTCCAAATTGGAGATTTTTGGTTCCAACCGCCGTGTCTTTGTGAGACGCAGAGTAGGTGAACGGAGGATCTCCACATGTGTGGTTCCCACCGTAAAGCATGGAGGTGGTGGTGTTATGGTGCTTTGCTGGTGACACTGTCTGTGATTTATTTAGAATTCAAGGCACACTTAACCAGCATGGCTACCACAGCATTCTGCAGCGATACGCCATCCCATCTGGTTTGGGCTTAGTGGGACTATCATTTGTTTTTCAACAGGACAATGACCCAAAACACACCTCCAGGCTGTGTAAGGGCTATTTGACCAAGAAGGAGAGTGATGAGTGCTGCATCAGATGACCTGGCCTCCACAATCACCCAACCTCAACCCAATTGAGATGGTTTGGGATGAGTCGGACCGCAGAGTGAAGGAAAAGCAGCCAACAAGTACTCAGCATGTGGGAACTCCTTCAAGACTGTTGGAAAAGCATTCCAGGTGACTACCTCATGAAGTTGGTTGAGAGAATGCAAAGGGTGGCTATTTTGAAGAATCTAAAATATATTTGGATTTGTTTAACACTTTTTTGGTTACTACATGATTCCATATGTGTTAATTCATTGATGTCTTCACTATTATTCTACAATGTAGAAAATAGTAAAAATAAAGAAAAACCTTTGACTGGTACTCTATACATATAGATAAATACACATCTTTAAATATTATTTTCCTATATTATTTCCCCCTAACCCTACCACCCCTCCCCTAATTGGAGTAAACTAATGAACAACAACACTTAGGCTTCTACTTCCAGCTTATACACTCACACTATATACATTTTACGGACAATCTATTTTACAATAGTTCTATTTTTTTGTTTTTAGTCCGGTCCGGTCAGTGCGGCCCTTCCTCTACCTTCAACCTCTCCCATCTATTTCTGATGTCCATCCAGTTTGATTTTTAGTTGCCATATTTTTTACTTTGCTGTTTCACAAAAGTTCTGAACCTATATACATTTTACGGACACAGTATATTTTACATTAGTTGTCTTGTTGTTATTAGTCCCATCCTTCAGCTACCCTCAACCCCTCCCACCCATCTCTTAACACCATCCATATTGGATTTCGATTTGCCTTATATTTTTCTACTGTGATGTGATGTTTCACAAAAGTTCTCAATGGATTCAATGGCAGTTCATACTTTCGCCCCAAGATGATTTCTATGGTCCTTTTGGCACCCCCCGCTGCCTCACAGCAGAGCCCTGCACGGGGATACATTTTAAGCCTGAGGCCTACCCATGCCCGCAACGTTCAGGCCCTACCCTGCACAGGCCTGATTGCTTCTGCCAAATTTAAAGCCCGGCCCGAAATCAGAAATAACTTCCTTTGTTAGTATCATTAGCTGCTGGTCTCGGTCCATCGCCCTGCTGCTAGTCTCGGTCCATCGCCCTGCTGCTAGTCTCGGTCCATCGCCCTGCTGCTAGTCTCGGTCCATCGCCCTGCTGCTAGTCTCGGTCCACCGCCCTGCTGCTAGTCTGAGCATCCTTGGGCTGCTCAATGATGAGACTGGAGCGAGCAGTTAGCCAACTACGTTCCGTCACGCTAAACGACAAAACTCAAGGAACATTCTTATTTTCTGTGAAATAATCTCTCGAGTCAACTCGGATAATATCTTATATTTGACGAGGTTGAAGCACCTCTTAGTAAGATAGGACTGTCCTGCGCAGCAGAGCATGAGAAAATGGCTCAGCTTCAAAAGGTTAGCAGGCTTGGGCGGTATACCTTATATAGGCCTACTGTATACCGGGGTAATTTGAAGTAGCCACGGGATAATTTTTCAATAACGTTGAAACTATTTCTGAAGTTTTTTTTTTTATACATTTGAATATTTGTAGCTACTTTAAGTAAATACCTGCAGTCAACTTATGCAACACGTTAAAGAGATAAAGAAGATTGCGTTCTTCATTTTCACATAATACTTCATTATGAATCTTACCGGTAGTCCCCAGTCACATTGTGAGTCTCCCTGTTGTGCAGCACACGCCAGGTGATTTAGTGTGAGTATCTCCCTGTTGTGCAGCACACGCCAGGTGATTTAGTGTGAGTATCTCCCTGTTGTGCAGCACACGCCAGGTGATTTAGTGTGAGTCTCTCCCTGTTGTGCAGCACACGCCAGGTGATTTAGTGTGAGTCTCTCCCTGTTGTGCAGCACACGCCAGGTGATTTAGTGTGAGTCTCTCCCTGTTGTGCAGCACACGCCAGGTGATTTAGTTACATTATGTTTCCCAGCTAGATCTCTTGTAACTATTAAGTTAACTAAATACTCTGCAGTTGTGCATTTGGTTGACTAATTCAGTAGCTAGTTAGCTCAGTGGTTCCCAAACTGTGTTCGGGGTCAGCTTTCAACTTACTCTTGAAAGTTGTAATAGTAGAACGCACAAAGTGCAATTTCAAAAATTGGGTAGTGGTAGCTAACTCCGATCCGTACGTATGTGGGCAACCGCGGCATTCAAACGAGGCCGCAATGAAAACTAATGGGACTGTAGCGACTGTGTTGGCATCAAAATCCGGGGTGTGAACTAAATTTCGATTCAGTGTTGATTGACATGGTAATGGACCAATAGTATTGGAGAAAGGTTATAAACTGACCCCGCTGACGCTGTACGTTAAAGCGTGACATGTCACGACGTAACGTACGGCACGCGTCATTCAACTCATTCTGTGCCGTACAGCCTCTTTCCACCAGGTGGAGCGCTTCTCATGCAGATTAAAAACAAGAAATTATCAAAATGGTGAGTAATGGTGAGTGTAAAGTTAACTATTGATGAACTCACAAGTAATTAATTCAGATAATTTGTTAATTTTTTGCCTAATCACTGCGAGCCATCATGACTCTCAGAAACCGTGACACCGACAGTTTAATGGTGAAGATAAATTTAGTGCCGGCCCTAAAAACCCTATTCAAATTCCACCCAAACCTTCAAATAGGTACGAGACATTATATAAACTCTTTAGTGTTTTATTTACATTTTAGAGGTGATAAGTTGGACAAATCGGGTGAAAAAAGCTGGTTCCCCACACAACATATCTCCCCCTTTCACCATGACGTAGCAGCTTCTGCTTCCCCACCCGCCATTTTTAGACACGGCAAAATGTGTAGAATTGCAGGAAATATGCATTAAAACCTGCAAAATGTTCTCTCCGCCAACAAGAGGGGTGTGAACAGCTTGTGTCATGAACAGTGCTTGTGCCCATAGAGATGGACGCGTTCCCCAATCCTGGAAGGGGGGCCTGAGTGAAAAAGGTTGGGAACCCCTGATCTAGCTAAGTGGTTAGCTTCTTCCAAAATCAAGCTTCACTTTCTTAACAGCAGAGAATCCCCTCCTGGATCAAGAGCCTTGCTGTCTAATATTTGGTTTGTGTGTGTGCAGCAAACTGTGAGTACCATTTTTGAGTTACTTGTATGAGCTGGGATGTCTGTTCTGAAAATAGTTTAGGTCAGAGACCGTATAAAATGTTTGCAACGTGCTCGTTAGCATTTAGTTAGCATTCTCTATGGGATTTGACATGGCCTTGTTAGCATTGCTAACGGTCGGATTACAGAGGCTGTGGGGTTAGAAAATAGCGCCCCTTGTGTTCAGTGCCGGTATTACCGAATATCTCGCTATGGCACTAGCTCGGTATGAAGGTATGACAATCAGGATACCACCAAACCTAAATGTTAGTGCTTAATTCAGTGATACCCAATCCCTAACCGTGCCAGAGTTATTGATGAGAAAACAATCCCTACCCAGCCCTAACCCAGTATTAGGCCCGTCGAGCTCTGGTAGCAGAGCTCTCACAGGAAAAAAGTATGGGGTGCGCTCCCAAAGCTCTTGCCAACAAGTTAGCTGTTTACAGCCGTTAGCAGTCTCTTCCTGGTGGTAAAATGGACGAT